AACTGAAATAAAATTTAAAAATCAGTTAACTTTTTTTTTTTTCCAGTGGCCCTAATCCTCTTCCGTAATATATATTTATGTCTCACTGTATAATTTAATTTCTACTTACATGTATTTGTTTATTGCATTTTTGTTTGCAATTAATTGTATGCTTATATATTTATTGCGCATTTATTTATTTCTGTATTTATTTTTAAATATGGCAGATTTGGTCCTCCATATCCCTGCTGCTTTGTCACTTAACTTAAATAAAACACCTACAGGCTACAAAATTCATCTTTATTTTGCATGCACCTTTTTTATAAAACAAAATATATTGGCCAAACTTTCTCACGTTCAATATGTTTCAAGTACTTCATGTTATATGGAAACCCTTTTAGTTGCTCATGTTTGGGTTTAAATCAACCTCTTTGCCCTTTTTATTTATGTTTCAGTGTGTTCAGCAGCAGCTGGTGACCGTGAGGCCCAACAACAACAATGCATCTGCAGTAATCAGCACTAAATTCACCCTGACTCTGCAGGTTGAATCTCAAACCAGGAATGCAACTCTTTGCAGGTAACAAACCTGTCTTTGCAACCGACCCCCCTCTGCCTCTCTGTGCTCATGTTTTTGATATTTTATGACATAATTTATAGACTGATTGTATTTGATGATGGCATCAGCAGAGTGTGAGATTATTTACCGGACTGGGAGAGCCACTCTGACCTGCTTTTGGGAGCTGAGTGATGTCCTATCTTAAACCTCCTCTCTGGTTATTGATCAGGAAGCTTTCGGGGGTTAATAAGAGCTGACATTGTAATATTGATGAAAAGGGCTCATTAAAAGCAGAGAGCTGAATGTCCTGCAGAAGAATCAAATTGTTAACTATAGGGGACATTTTCCATATTTCTAAATGGAGCAGTCTGGAGGAGGGGTCATTTGTAAACACAATGCCCAGGATTTATTTTGACCATCACTGTTATCTTTCTCCAGATGTCTCAGAGGTTTTGTTTTTGGTCTTCTAAGATCAATGCTGAGGTCTCTAACCAGACTGTGCTGTTATTGATTTCCTTTTCTCCCTCTGAGAATAAACCCTCAGAGTGATAGCTGGTATATCACCCCAGCTCTGGATCAATGCAACATGTAAAGCAGGTTTTTGGGCCTGAAATTAAAGACAAGGAGAGGTCGGCTGGATGCTATTTACTCTAAACCACTACAAAAGTTTTCCTTACCTACTTGAATGTGTTTTTTATGGAAGTAAATCTGTGTCGCTGGGATTTAAATAAAAAACGCGACTGAAATTTCAATGTTGTATGTTTGTACTTACTGTTTCAGTGTTAAAATATATTCATAACACATTTTTGACGTTAAAAAAAAATTCATTGCCATTATTTCTACACAGTTTAAATTTAATTTGTTATTTTCTCTTCAAGCTAAAATTCACATTACTATTTCAAAGTGATTACAGTACATTTGCAATACTTATTTTTGAGTGTTAAAAAAAATCTGCATATAAAAAAATTCAACCTTTCAAAATTCAAACTCAATATTTTCAGCCTCCTGAGATTCAACTGGCTATTTTTCACTGTCTTAAATTCGGCGTCTAAATTCATGTAAAAAGGGAAGGGTTACTTCAGGTCACAGACATTAGCAATGGATTGTGGCGTCCAACACCTAGCCAATCCCGTTACGTTTTCTTAGTCACGTGACGTGACGCTTGTGGCGCTCATATGGAAGGAAAACCAGAATGACGGAGCCGGTCATGCAAGCTAACGCTAACTCAACTACAGAAAAATGAAAGTAATAAATTCACCGTAGAGTTAGCTTTAATCTCAGGAGGCTGAAAATATTGAGTTTGAATTTTGAAAGGTTGAAATTTTTTATATGCTGATTTTTTTAACACTCTACTTTTCAAATAAGTATTGAAAATGTAATCACTTTGAAATAGTAATGTGAATTTTTAGCTTGAAGAGAAAATAACAAATGAAATTTCATCTGTGTAGAAATAATGACAATGAATTTTTTTAGGTCAAAAATGTGTTCTGAATATATTTTAACACTGAAACAGTAGTTACAAACATACAACATTTAAATTTCAGTGGCATTTTTAATTCAAATCCCAGCGACACAGATTTACTTCCATATTTTTACATTTACTAATATTACAACCACAAGCTTCAGGGAATTTTATTGGAATTTTATGTAAATCATCCGAAAGTAGTGCAGAATTGCAAATGGGAGAAAAAAAATATGCATAGCTATCAAATTTAATTTTCAAATACAGAAAAAGTTGCAGTGATCTTGTCCAGGACACCCCGGTAATTAAAATGAATTTAAGTCTCTATTAGCCAATATTATTAATTTATTATTATAACTGCCTTAAGCCCACCCCTTTACTTCACTACCCCAAATTAAATCCCAATCCATCAGTAAATAAAGCCAATTTTAACGATTCTATCTCAGTATAAACCAACTGTTCTGTAAAGATCAAATTAGTTGCTCGACAAACATCAGTGGAAAAAAATAGCATAAAATAGGCCAAGGAATACAGCATCCCTGCAGTGCAACATTGCAGCATCATGCTTTGGGGTTAAACATCTCTAGTAGGAATAGAGAAGCTGCTAAGATGTTCTAGAGTGGAGCTAAGGATGTGATAGTTCTGCAAAACAAAGAATTATCCAACAGCGTTTCAATGCAGATGCAAGTCGCCAGGATGGCAATACATTGATTTAGAGCATGGGGTCCTAAACATTTCTCATTCTTAGACCCCATACTTATGGAGAGACTTTCCCCAACACCAAACATGGAAAAAAAGCCATGTTTAGCTAGGAGGGGCTTAGAACTCATTTTTGACTGGAAGACTGGGTCCTAATGGACACTTCTATTACCTATGTTAAGGTAAAACAAGCATTTTTATTCCAGTTTTAACAATGCTGCAGATGTCTCATTTATTTAGGATAAAACAAAGTAAATGTCAAATTCATAACCCTGCTTGCAAAACGTCTGTGAGCCACTAGGGAGTCACAATCTCCCTGTTAAATAAGCCTGATTCATGTGTTAGATTAGATGAGCTTTATTGATCTCACAGCGGAGAAATTTACTGGTCACATATCGGCATAGTGATTAAAGAAGGTGCAAACAAGGAGGAAAAAGGTGCATTAAGAATAAACAAGCAAGCACTGTATATACAGTATATCAAGATAAGAATAAGGATTAAGGTGCAAGTGTACATGTATCACACACAATGAAAAAAAATAAAAATAAGAAATAAAAAATACAAAGGAGTAACACAGAGATTTGAGGTGTCATATGTACAATCCGGATGGTTTATACTGTATATGGATTGACTTTTGAATTAAAGTGTAGTAGGTAAGGAACAACGGTGAGGTAGTGGTATGACTATTATATTCACATATATTGCACAGAATATTGCACAGTCAATAAATAAAAAAAACTCTAATATAATTGCACAGTGGTTGTTACAGGAGTTATTGTGGTTATAGTGCAGTATTATAGAGTCTGGTGGCAGCAGGAATGAATGACCTGCGGTAGCGCTCCTTCTTACAGACAGAGTGTCAACACTGCAAAGATAATCTAGAAATAAGTAAAGATATCTTAAATTAAGTGTATTTACCCTTAATTTTAGTAGGTAAGTAAGAGGATTTGCCAATGGAATCAGTATTTTTACTCTTAAAATAAGATAATTAGATAAAATGCATTTGAAATAAGACAATGCAATTGTTTTTTCTTATTTTAAAGGTAAATTATCTTGTTCCATTGGCAAAGTTTCTCACTTACCTCCTCAATGCAAGAATAGATGCACTTATTTTAAGAAAAAATTACTTATTAAGATTCACATTTTTTGCAGTGTAAGTCTTTCACTAAAGGAGCTGCTCAGCTCCTCTACAGTTAGAGTGGCCTAGTCAAAGTCTGGACCTACTCTACAGCCAATAGGGAACTGGATGGATAATTAAAATGGAAGAAATGTCACTTAGTTGCTGAGGTTAGATGATTTGTGTCGGTCTATAGCATAAAATCCTACTAAATGTAACTTCTGCACTGTAACTATGGAGGCACTGGGTGGCGCTCCTGAGCTTCAGATACAAAAATGAATCTATTAACAAAGCTTTGTTTTCTGTTTTTTCTCTGGACTGTCAGGTTAGGAGGAAAATAACATTCCTACTTTTACAGACAGCAGCATCTGATCAAATCTTTTGAGTGAAATTTGTCTCAACATCTCCCTGTTTTGGCTGCAGATGGAGTCAAACATATGAGGAAGGAGGTCATTACTCTAGTTGGATCCAGATGCCCACAGCCTCCACTAACCCAATCTGCTTTTTTTCTGTGGATAAAAGTCCAAACAATGCCTACCTGCGTAAGTATTAAAAAAAATGTGCAGGTATTGTCGTTTATTCCTCTCTGTTGACAGTGACAGAACAAACACTTTGACCCCACAGCCTTTGATCCAACCTTTTCTTAATTGAGTCAGCACAGAGCAGAAACACTTCTCCCCTTCACATCCACTGAGCTGCATCTCTCCTCCTCATGGGACATGATGTGCATCGATCAGATTAGACTGGCTTTCTTGAAAAGGGATAAAAGAAAAGCTTTTCTGCTTGTTTTGAAGTCCTGGCTCTGCACGCCGAGGGATGAGGGCAATACATTAGGGAGTGTAGAAGGATTAGAGCGTAATGGGATTTTAAAAGCGTCTCTCTGCATAATGTACACTCTACTTAACAATAGCAGATTATGTTGGAGATCAGACTTTTAAGGCCAAGTAGCCATTATCTGTGATGGTCAGTGTGACTGCACCTTTCACAGTATGATGAGCTTCCATTAGCTCCACAGACCGGTGATTATACCAGCCCCCCTTAGGACTGGCTCATCTTAAGTGATGCTCTGGTCAGTAGCTGAAAATGAGGTGTGGAGGGGGGGATGGTTGCCCTGGTAGGAAAATTCAAGTTCATCATGCTGTTCCAGAATCACTGGGCTTTGTTTGAATATTCCTTGAGTACCTCCAGCTCATGATTCTCTGCAGCTGCACCCTTTGATTGTGTTAGTATTGTATTCTGTGCAGAACCATGAACCACAAGTCACCTGCAGACTCCTTAATTATGATACAGAAACCCACAGGACCGGCCATTATTAAGTGTTTGTTTCGACTTTGCTTTAAACATGTCAGTGCGTCTATAAATGCACAATTTAAATTGAGTTTATCCTAACAGCAAGAAATAAAGGAAGCACTTTATGGTGATTTATGAAGGAGCGTGGGGGATGCTGGGACTTTTTCCGAGGCAATTAAATGACCGCTCTCTGTCCAGAAAGGATATGCCGGCGTGCATTCCTCTCGTATCAGAGGCGATTCTTTCTGTTTGTTTTTCCACTTCAGACAAACAATGTGCGTACTGTACCTTTGTATCCCCGTCTGCTTGACGTATGAGGAGTGTTCTGTAAACTCAGCTGACCTGTCTGTGAAAGGTCTTATGAGAATCGACGTTTTCCTGCTTTTGTAGAGAACACTTTTCACTTCATTAAAGTGTCACCTGTACTTTTATTACCCCCTCTTTGGTCAGTGGATTTAGATCTAGACTTTAATTCTTTTAATCGAACATTAAATATCCTTTAATCTAAATCCTCCCATCGTAGCTCTGAATGCATGTTTTGAATTGTTGTCTTGCTGGAAGATGAAACCCTGCATGTCTCCAGTAATTTGCAGCCTCTAATTGGTTGACTTTTAACTCCACACTTCAATTTTGTAAAAACACTGTAAAAAACTTTTAATTTAAGTAAATTTTCTTAAAATAAGTGCATTTGTTCTTGAATTAAGCAGGTAAGTGAGACACTTTGCAAATGGAACAAGACAATTTACATTTCAAATAAGAAAGGAAACTACTGCA